CTGAAGATATGGAACCCCAGATTGTATAAATGATGAGAGAAAGTGCAGCACATAGATGCCCTGTATTATATCCAGTATATACTGTACTGTAAAGAGCTTCGGGTAGTCATCAAGACTAGAAAAGCTTCCATATAAATACAGAGCATTTACCATTACATAGGAATCATCCGAACTTTCTGTAAAACCGTTTCATTCCTACTCAAGACAGCACATAATGTCTGTCCGTGGGTTCTTGGTTTGACTCACAGTCTTTCATTTATTAAACATCTCCATAATTGTGCAGCCAAATTGTGCCGAAAATGATCAACCTGATTGCAGAGATATCAGGAGAATGCCTCGTTTTCTTTTCAAAGGCGAAAGCCAGGCTACGCTATAAGAAAGCCTCTATAACCCCCTGCTGAGTATATAACAAATTAGGCATCAATCAGTGGGCTTTGCGGAGGCTGCCGACGTGTGTGGTACACGGCGTTCTGACGGCTTTCAGGGCTTCGCCTATACTTACATCTCAAATGAGTTACGCAGCAGGCTCCTGATGGGAGCTGCCATTTACTTTACTTTGCTGTAATCGCCGGGCTCTGCATGTCAACCTGTCTGGCAGCGGCTGCATGACATAACCTGATCTACTCTGCTTTGTGAAATCATGCAACATTGTCGTCTCAGCTTGAACGCGGCTCACGACAGGCGACGATGACAAGAGCCCCAGACTGTGCATGCGTGCTCCTGAGGTGCAGAGGTCGGCGTTGTAAGAAAGCCCTCTGCAGTAGTGATTTACCTGCACTGATGTGTAAAATTTGAATGTTACATTGTGGGACTGCGGACACACACACAAACGCAAAGTTTTCTTTCTGATGACAACATTCTGTGTGTCAGACCACTGTTGCATAAATGTTTTCAGGATGTCCTGGGTTCAGGTCAGATTTTATGGAACAATGGCCTGACTCAGTCATGCACGCACTCCGTGTCTCTTTGTATCCCTCTTTCTGTCTCACACACACACACACTTGAACTGGATTTTATATCTATTTTCTCTGCAAGCACGGCCATTTTGCCTAATCATCGCTTGTCCACATTACACTAGACTTGACATCACTTTCATGTAAAGTTCCTGCAAGCTCGCTTCACGACAATTAGAAATCTTGAGACACACACCGCTGTGCCTGTGTGTGTCTCACAGCCTGAGGAAAAGTTTTGCTGCAACATGAGCATTTAGAAAAGGCAAATTCCTTTGACGTATTTCTAGACCTGCTCCAACTAATTGGAATAATGTGGAGAATTTGACACAGATCTAATGATAACAACCCGCTGTCACTGTCCGGACACTTTTAAAATGTAGTTTTAGCTCCGTCAAAGAGGTTATTATTTCACCTGTTTCTGGCTTGTTGGTTTTTTAATTATTTGCACTAATCCTGGTCGAGGGATAAAGCATTAACATTACATTTTGGATCTCATGTGGATCTCGTCTATTCTACTATATTATTATCAAAATAGTCAGACATATTTATGTCTCAGCTGCCAATCATCTTGTTTCACCCCCGTTTTTATAGCATCAAATAACCAATTTAAACAAAACAGAACTAAAATGAAAGAAACCTTCTTTAAGGAAAGTACATATTTTATATTTTCCAAACCACTAACATGGAGGAGTTAATAACCTATACTGCAGTCAGCCGCCAGTGTGCAATCAAGATGTTTTGGCTTTATGGAGCCGTCATATCGTCCATCTTTATACAGAGTCTATCTTTTATCCAGAGTGTCAGACTACTTCTTTATTTCCTTGTATTTTCTATTATAGGAGCTTGACAGATGTTTTGCCATTGCGGAGGTATGCACTCTACCGAGTGCCATTCTAGTCTAGACATGTTCCCTCCCATTGGGCTCTTTACACAACTTTATAACTTGTCATATTCCTCTATATGAGCTAATGTCAGTGTCCCAGTTTCACATTCATCATAGCTGTCAGAGCAAATGTGGTGTACAGAGGGAGCCACTGCTGAAAAAGCAGAATTGCAGGTCTCGACTGAAGCGGGGGGAAAATCATTGGTGTGGAATGCACTGTAGGTGTGAGCGGGCCGACGCAGGTTTTATGGTGCTTATCAGCGGTCGCCCCGCGGTTTTCACATCTGGGCCCTAAAGGAGGAAGTGGTTAACGGGGAACAGGAAGTGGCTTTTTCGGCAAGAACACATACAACGCTGCTGTCAGAAGGATGATCTCTGGGTGCGTGCGTGTGACAAAGAGGCAGCAGGAGAGACAGAGGAGTTCATCTGGACTAAACTGCCGACCTTTGGAGGGGACATCTCATTTGTCAGATGTGGACTGGTGTGGAGTGATTTAACTTAATTACCCCGTTCCAACGGGTAGGCAGAAGGTCTCATTTGCAATTTTCCTCTTTTATATGTCACTGCTTCTGCTGGAACTATATTTTCTCTCCTGTGCAGTTCGTCTCTCGCTGTCACTTTGTGTCCGTAGTGTCACGTTCTGCTGAAATTTGACAGAAATGGAATGTGACAGTTTTAATCATTTGCACATAAAGCAAAGTTGTGCGTTTTTCAGAAGAAGAAATAACATGTTTGTATGTTTTCATTGAAATAATACAGTGTAGTTTACATATACAAGCTATTTGCTGTGGTATTTAAAAAAAAATATGCATAAATATGAAAATAGGGAACAGTATAGTTCTAATTAAGATGTGAGCAACATGAACGTTTGTACAGTATGACCGTTATTGCACAGCGGAGGTTCAAATGTCACAGGTGAGTTTCAGTTTAAATGCAGCTGCTGCGTCCTCTTCAACCCGTTTTGAAATTCCAGAAAATACCGGATTACACCGCCAGACCACTCTGACATAATTACTACCCACAGGTGATGCAGGAAGGCGATATGATTCAACATTCCCCAGGGTGACACAATAGCATTTGAGACGATAGAGCCGCAGTGTGTGTGAGGTTTGTGTGTGGGTATGTGTGTGTGTGTGGGTGTGTGTGTGTGTGTGTGTGGGGGGGTGTGTGTGTGTGGTGGACCCACCACCACTGAATATGCTCATAAATCATTCAGCATTTGGATAAAATTTCCAAACACATGTCTGGTCTCAGGTGACGCGTCAACTCTGTGTGACCCCTCCTGTTTTAAAAAGGTGACGATCACCATGCAAGGCCGCCGCAGCCGATCAGCGTATTTTAATGGTAATGCTGGAGTTGAGTGATGGCTCAGCAGTTTTTTTTTCCTGCCGTGTCAGGTTGCCGTAAAGGTGCATCACATAAACGCTCGCACACTATGACTCAGCAAATATCACACAGGGACAAAGATTGAAAACGCTGTATTATGAAGACAAAGCAGCCTCATTACATTAATGATGGCAATTCATGTTATTGTAGGAATTTATTAAGCGGCGGGGTTTCTGTGATTTCCACATCAGGAGTCGTTAAACTCAAATACGCTGATAAAAAAGTGTTAAGTAGTTTTAAATTATACTCTTTTCTGTCTCTTAAACACTTTGCATCTACGTCTGTCTTCACTGTCGTTCGTCTGCTGTTATGGATGATTTGTTTCCATGGTCTCCTTCTCCCATCAGTCTTTGCAGGCCATGCTCTCCTCCCTTCACTCTGAGCTTGACATTCAGAGGTACTTGATGAAAATCCAATTGCCCCACAGAGTTAGTCGGCCTTTTTATCTTATCTGCATCGTTCGGCTCCGTTGTGTGTGTGTGTGTGTGTTGTGTTTGCATCCTCACTAACATTTTGCCATGTGACTATTTTCCCAGCCCCTGTGCCCCTATGTCTCTGTCTGTGCCTGCTGAAGCACACTTGGCTACCAGGCTAAACCAGTTCTGGCTTTGAAAACTCCCACAAATGTCAACCGCACTTAATATAAAAGGCTTGAATTCTTTATTTGTGCGTGGGAGAACGGCAGCGTGTGCATGCAGGTGTGTTGATGATAACCTGGCCGACTTGGCCTCGCAGCTACAGCGAGAGATGAAGAGTGTTTCATGAAGAGCATCTCACAAAGAGCTCTATGTTCGCTGACCCCCTCTCAGCTCCAGTCCCACCTCATCCCTGTGCTGCAGATCACCTTACAGCACCACATAATAGCTCTGTGATCTCCGCAGCCACGTCACACATCGTCTTAGTGTGGCTGTGGCCTGAGGAAGCCACGTCATGCAGATCAGATTACCGAGAAGCCCTTAAAATCCTGATGAGTCAATTAACGATATTTAATCGGAGGTTATTTCATCTTCTTCTTCCTCTAGGACTCATCTTCTCTCATACACTGTTCATGTCATTGTTACATGAGATTAAATTAAACGCAGGTACATGCTTCCCCCTGCTTGATAACTTTTAAGTGCTGTGATGTGCTTGTAGGACAGAGCTAAGTGTAAAGTCATTTTCAGACCTGACCTTCGCAGGATGTTTCTCAGGAGTTTCACAAATGCACAACGCAGCTGGAGAACAACACAGAAATCTCTATATATATTTGTTTTCTTTTTCCTTCCATTGCGTATTAGAAACGTCATCAACAAACCCACTCGTGAATTCTGCGGAGGATCTTCTGCTGTGTTCTCACGTCAGCTCCTTCAGACCTTCTGCAGAGTTTTAGTAGGGGGCTGGCTGGAGAACCTCTGGATGCTCTTCAGAGAATGTCCGGAGGTTCTCCAGAGTTCAGTGCATGTCTGAAAACAGTGCAACGTGGGTGAGCATGTGTCAGTGAAATACAATATTAACTCTCCTTTGCACATTTGGATGTTGTGTCGCAGTGGAGCTCAAAGTCAACATCAAAAGCACTTTTTCCTCGCTTGTCAAAGAATGTGTGTGACACTGAGCGTTTTTAAACTCTGAGCTGTTTTCTTCACCAGAAGCTCTTTATCTTAAAGAAAATTTTTTTTTTTTTTTACATCTGCTTGTGTTGTTTACAGAATATGAAACTTGTGCATGTTTTTATCACCGTGCTGTGTCCATGGTCTCACTCTTTACGTGTGTTATGTCTCCACATGTCTCCCCACCTCCAGAGCAGAAGCCCAAAGCACGGCCCCAGCCCCCAGTCCAGCGTCGGCGACCAGGTTGACCACCTCTCCTTGGCCTCCCTGGAGTCACTGGACGCCATGTCTGAGGCCGACGCTCCCACAGCCTTCACCCGCGGCAGCCGAGTTCGCGCCAGCCTGCCCGTGGTGCGGTCGACGAACCAGACAAAGGACCGCTCGCTAGGTATGCTGTCAAAATCAATAGAGTAATTCTCTTTTGTTTCTACTAAGAAATTATTGAGAATAAAAGCTCTTTCTGAAATCTTCAGGTGAAAGTAAATAACTTACCTGACTTCACACTCTTACCCTGCCAGTCCACGTCTCTCCCTCACTCTCTCCTCCCCTTTTCCGTCCCTCCTCTCTCCACCTCAGCTCACAGCTCCGTTTTAATTAGAATGCATTTCCTCTGTAGTGAAAGATTAGGGAATCAGTCCACAATATGCCATCGTGTTATTGACAGGATTAGAAATGGGCCGTCTTATCAAGGCGCGCCGTGCTTCATTTGCATCCACATGCAGAAGATCATGCAGAATTAGGCTGCTGCATTAGGTGGAGAGAGAGAGCCCAGGACAGAGTTTCCCAAACAAAGTGTGGTGCTGGTATTTTTTTCCAGGAGGGTAGTCTTCAAAGGTAGCTCACAGCTCAGCGTGGCATCTGCTGCTGGATTATTTCAAAGCATCTGCGTGGCGCGCCTTTCGACCAAAGTGAAAATGAATGAAACTATAGGGTGTCGTTTTCCACATTCCTCTGTGCCAGTAGCAACCTTTTGTTTGCCTTGAGAAGCAAACCTGCAAAAAACTCATCGCAAATACTTTTATTTGCCATGCATGTTCATACACACACACACACACACACACACACACACACACACTCACACATGCTCCATCTCTCTCTGTCTTTCAAAAACATCAGGACAAAGCGTTAGGACAGTGGGGGGTTATGGTTTGGTGAAGGGGGAGGAGAATAAAAGGGGCACCACTTAACTACTTTGTCCCTCCCACAGTCTTCACACACACGCACAAACACACACACACACACATACACACACAAACACACTGACACACATTTCGCAGGGTCCCAACGGACATTTGGGGCTCCTTCTTGGGGCTCAGCGTCTTCAGCCTGTAGTGTAGGAGTTGTCGCGTGGTCTTTTCCAGAGCATCACAAGACTCCGCAGAAAACAGGAAATCCTTTAATCCCCTTAATGTAAGTATCAGATTCATTCTTGAGTGTAGCATCAACTGTATTATATTTCAAGACGTTTTGTTTCTCTGTGCTAAAAAACTTAAAAAGTATTCTCTGCCTTTTTTAGTCGCATTTCAAACTTTGCGATAATGTGAGCGGACACAGATTGATATGATTCATGATTGTGCCTGGTGAAAACTGACAGGAGAGATGTGGAAAAACAGTTTTAAAACCCAGACGGTCTGCAGCGCTGTGCCCATTTGGTCAGGAAACCCACTGGCCATTTGCTTCCAATCCTGAGTGAAACCAGGCACCTAGGAATGTAACACGATTCTTTGTTAGACCCGAGCTCCTCAGCTTTGTCACAGCAAATTAAAAAAGAATTAATCTTTGTATTGCATCGCAAGATCAATGCCGCTCCGTCATCAAACCCCCGGTTTCGCGCTAGTTGCAAACATCTGGATGCAAAGCGGCCGATTGTTAACGTGACAGCTCTCGGGGGGGGGGGGGAAAGATGAAGTGTGTCTGCAAATGGACACTTTGTTAAGTTATTACAATCCAGGAACCCACACAGACCAGAGCAATGGATCGACTCAGCAATTTTATTTCCTGTATTTGCCCTCGCTCTGTCTCGCTCTGCCTTGTGGAGCATGTAGGATCTTGTATAATATTTCACCAACATCTGGTAGCTTTTACTGGCTCGCTCCTTTTATGGGGTTACACCAAGTAAAACCTTACCTCCTTTCCTTAAAGCCGGCTATTTTCACTGCAAAACAAACGTCTCTGAAATGACATAAAATGATTTATGTGCATCATACTCAGGAAAGTTCACATTGAATATAATACAACATAATTGGAAAAAGAACAGAAACAGATTTTTTTTCATTTAAGTTCTGTAATCGCTTCAGATAAACTCTATGAAACCAGTCCCATGCTGTTTGAAGAGATGAGTCAGAGATTAGAAATAGAAAAGAGTTTTGTTTTTCACTCATTTCCCTGGCATTGTTTATACAAGTGCAGTGAAGGCGTGTCCATGAATTTGTGGGAGAGACATCTGTTTTTCTAAAGCACAGTACAGAAGCCACACCCAGGGTTCAGAGGTTCAGCCTTTGGTCTTTTTGATGCACAACTTGTTCTGTTCCACCCCGAGCACACAGCCCTGCTTCTGTCTCCCTCTCCTTCTCCCACGTACTTTTTAAAAATGATTAAATAATCAGTGTTTTTCTGGATTTACCACACGCTTTTGACAAAACAAGAAACATAAAATCAAGACTTAGGTGGTATCGTTCACACAGAACCTTCTGTTTTTGCAAATGTGCAAATGGAAACCATTTGCCACAGAAACTTGTTCTTCTGCTCAAATGTTTAGTTTGTGCCTCAACTGAGGTTAAACATTCGTTCTGGAGCCCGATTCAAGTCTAAAGAAAGATTTTCAACCCACTGATAGTGACTTCAAATTGAATCAGCCCTTCACATTTACTGAATCCGAGCAAAATGAATGTGTTTTGTCGACTGTTAGGGTTTGATTGTGTAACAATTATTTATGCAATCGTGGAGCCATGTTGTAACATGGGCTCCGTGGGTTTGCACAGAAAAGGGCAATTTTCACTGCGATCCAGCAGGTGATTTGTCGGGGATGAGGGGGGGGGGCTGTCCCCTTTAAACCAAAATGACCCAAATTCTAATCCTCTATTAGAGAGAGTGCTGCGTGTTGAGATAGAGAATTTGTGTGTGCAGGTGAGATTTATTTTCAAAACTTGAAACCAAATGACATCGAAAAGAACAGCTCTCTTTGCCACACTCTCTCTCTCCCACCCATCAGCAGCACCGGGAGCAATCCTACCCGTGTTGGTGGCTGTTAAAACAGCCGCAAAGGTTTAAGCATCTTTGGAAGGCAGGCAGGATTCAGCATAAGCTCAGTAGGAATTCTTCACGAAGTAAGCATTAAGTTCCACCACAGCCCCATCCCCAACTTATCGTCTCCACAAGTTAATCATCTGGAGAAACTCTCCTAAATAATATTCACTCCGATATTAGTGGAATTCTGTCTATGCATTGTTCATTTTTTTGTGACCCTGGTAAAAATATAATCACTTAGTGCTTAGATCATGTGTTGGAAGTTGTTTGAGGCTCACCAGGTCCATTCCCACTTGTTTGATCCGCTCTGTTTTGGCATTGTTTTCTGCTCTCATATTAATCCTACAAGATCAGAAATTGATTGAAACAGGTCCAGAATCAGATTTTCTTCCAATTTCTTCTAATCAGCTTCTTAGGAACCTACTATAACTAACTTTAGTTGCTAAGTCAGAACTTTGTGTTGCAGCTAAAGAGTAAAAGTCCTGCTGTGGTTTTTAAATGGAAGGTATTTACTGGTAAGTAGCTGCGTGAAGTCGTGTGTTTGCATCACTAGATCATTTCTGAAAAAACAACGAGCTTACAAAAACAGAAGAAAGAAACAAAACAGTGTGTCACCTCTACAAAGTCACATGCCTGTTTAAATCGGAAGAAAGACTTTCCTAAAGAATTACAAAGTGCTAACTTGTTGCTAATGATCCTGTTCCCCCGCCCGCTGTCTGTAGGTGTGCTGTACCTGCAGTACGGAGACGAGACCAAACAGTTCCGCATGCCCAACGAGATCACCAGCATCGACACAGTCAGAGCTCTGTTCGTCAGTGCCTTCCCGCAGCAGCTCAACATGAAGATGCTGGAGTCGCCCAGCGTGGCGGTCTACGTCAAGGACGACATGAGGAACATGTACTACGAGCTCACCGATGTCAGGTAGAGATGTGTTTGTGTGTGACGAATATAGACTAAGAGACATTTGTTGTGTTTTCTAAGTTCAGGACATCCAAACTTATACTCTTCCTCCATTTCCCCCTCCCTGAGCACTTCCTGTCTAAACTCCCCCTGCACAGGAAATGTCACTGGCCAGGAAGGCGTCTCTCTTCCTTCTTCCCCAGTATTAAAACTTAATAGGAAAGAAAGTTATATGGAGAGGAAGCCCTGCAGCAAAATGTCTCCAACATACCCGAGCAAAGCGAAGAGCACTCTTGAGAGACATAGACGACTCTGCAGCCTGTTGTCCTCCTCCCTCCTTTGGTGGAAGTTTGACTCTGGAAAGTTTGAGCTTTGTTATTTTGAGGCACTAAGTGTAGTTTCCAAATATTGTGCATTGTGTTGTGTGCATCAGTTACACCCCCCCCCCC